TCGACATGGCAATAGTCGGGGAGATTTGTCCGACTTCAGGGGGGGATGTGACATTGAACCAGACGACCCTCAGTGGGATTACTCGTATGATGTATATTAATTTTGGTTTTCAATCTTTTCTCTCTATATATATTCTTATAATTAAAAAGGCATATATTGGATCAAAATATCGTTTATTTTACCAATATTTCAGTTGGCTGAACGCCAACCTTTATCAAGGTGTTATTGGTTGGCGTATTAAAGGTTGGCGTTCAGCCAACTGAAATATTGGTAAAATAAATGATATTTTGATCCAATATATGTCTTTTTAATTAAAGATTTATTTTTATGGATTGCTCTATTTTCAAAGTATATTCTTATGTGATCGATTAATAAAATATTGTTACGTAGAAATAAAAGCACATTCCAGAATGCAGAGAGAATGTTCTAGAACGTTTAAGAATAATGTAGAAAAGCGGAAAACAACTGATAGGCCAATCTAAAGCGATTGCGCAAGGCTTAGTGCTGGCGGCTTTTTGATTGGCTGACCAACCATGACCGTTCTGAAAAGATTTACTCTGGGATATATAGGGATGAGGAGCTCATGCCGGGGAGAAGAAAGATAAGAAGTAAAGAAAAAGAACGAATCTACGTGGTGGACTCCAAGCAAACGTTGCTGTCTCAAGAGGTCGGACTGCTGCTTACCGCCGACGCCGGTGTACTTCCTGGAAGATTCTACCAACTTCTGCTCCTGCTTTCCTTCACTGGACTGAAGTTGGTGAGTTTTCTGTTTTCTTTATTTTGAATTCTTCTGTTTATTTATTAGGCTTAAATAAAGTCCTAAAGATTCTTTGTACCCACGGAAGTTATTCTTTGTCAACGCAACAATATATTCAATCTCTCTCTTATTCTCATACTAGCCGAATGACCCGGGCAACGCCCGTGTTTTACCCGATTGAATGTTTTTATTCAAATACTATTTGTTACAATTATAAATTGGCGCCTTAAATAAATGCATATGTTAGTTAATAACTATAGCCTATGTGCTTTATCTGTCTATGTACTGCTGGCTTCCGTAGGCGTCTCATACTGGGAAAAAGAAAGAGAGGATTCCATTTAGTAATTACTAATATATGCATTTATTTAAGGAGCGACCCGCTCCAACACAATAGTTACAAAAACGAAACAGAGTGGGGGAGGCATGATGGGGGGGGGGGGGGGGCAAAGGTGGCGTGATCGTAGTCAACCAATAGGAGGGCGCCATTCCAAAAAAAAAAGCAAACGGTGACAGAGTTGATTGATAAAGAGATGAGGAATGACGCGCTCGTAACTGTATATAGAATTATTTACACTACATATTATAAAAACAAATTAAGAATATCCTGAACACTAACATGGGCGTTTTTTAGATGGCAGAGCGCCATCTAGTGGAACAGAAATAAACTAAACGTTGATTTAACTTGTTCCCTGATATTTGGACAACTCATTTACTTAAAAAATCAAGAAAAGCCAACCACGAAAGCGTTTCGGGCTGTTGGCCCTTGTCAATGTGGTTACTGATGGAATTTATTTTTTAAAACATTTCGTTTTGTACAAAGCAATCGGGAATCAGACAATAACTCTAAAAGAAATTACAGTGTGATCTTTATTTAAGATAAACTAGATATAACCAAGTGTAAACAAATTTCCCTTGACTCCTTAAATATTCTATATACAGTTACGAGCGTCATGCGTTCTTAATCAGTCATTCATTTTTCATGTCTGTCACCGTTTGCTTTTTTTTTTTTTTTTTTGGAATGGCGCCCTCCTATTGGTTGGCTACGATCACGCCACCTTTGCCCCCCCCCCCCCACTCGCTTTGTTGTTTTTGTAACTATTGTGTTGGAGCGGGTCGCTCCTTAAATAAATGCATATATTAGTTAATAACTAAATGGAATCCTCTCTTTCTTTTTCCCAGTAAGAGACGCCTACGGAAGCCAACAGTACATAGACAGATAAAGCACATAGGCTATAGTTATTAACTAATATATACATTTATTTAAGGCGCCAATTTATAATTGTAACAAATAGTATTTGAATAAAAACATTCAATCGGGGGGTAAAACACGGGCGTTGCCAGGGTCATTCGGCTAGTATATATATATATAGACGACCGGCGATATCAAAGACTTTCCACTTCCTTAAGTTTTTCTCAATGAGTGTACACATATCAAAATTGTTAATCTGTTAATAAAATAATATCAAAATTTTGATACAGTATTATTTATAATCGATATTGTCATCTTCACAAACCAAGTTTAATAATTTGATGTCATTTTTTCCTTTGAACTGTGTTCTTTAATTTTATTTAAAGTGATAGAAATGACTGGTTGTGAAGTGCCATCAATAAAAATCAACTTTATTATTATTATTATTTATAATCATTGTATCTTTCTTTTGTGTGTGTGTGTGTTGTTGTTGTTGTGTCCAATGAAGAGCCTCAGATGTCTCCATACATCTCTATCACAGCAGTTACAATGTCCTCTATCTTGGGTGTGTTAAGCTACTGTTCTGGGTCCATGTCAATTTTCTGTTGTTGTTGTCGTTTCCAATGAAGAGCCTCAGATGTCTCCATACATCTCTATCACAGCAATGTTCTCTATATTGGGTGTGTAAAGCTGCTGTTCTGGGTCCATGTCAATTTTCTGTTGTTGTTGTGTCCAATGAAGAGCCTCAGATGTCTCCAAACATCTCTATCACAGCAATGTTCTCTATCTTGGGTGTGTAAAGCTACTGTTCTGGGTCCATGTCAATTTTCTGCAAAGCTGCAGCTATTGCTGGACATGAGAATATGTGGGTAGGTGTTAGTTCCACAATTGTTACATTTCCTATAGGTTCTTGTGCCATCTGGATGTATTGTCATTCCTTTATAATATTTCATTCTGAGTCTTGCGATTGTTTTTGTTAATTTTCTCTCAGCGTTTATGTCACATCTTTGTCTTTTGTTGGATCATCTTGAATTTTGACAAAGCATCCACATCATATACTGACTGTTACTCTTTTCTAACTATATTATTGTGGAACTTGATGTCATTTCCTTTAGACAGCGTTCTTTTGTTTAAAAATTACCTTGGGCAAATAAGCAATCAGGTTCTTGGGCAACTAAACAATCTTGGGTAGCTAAGCAACCAGAACCTTAGGCAACTAAACAATCAGGTTCTTTGGAAACTAGGCAACCAGAACCTTAGGCAACTAAACAATCAGATTCTTTGGAAACTAGGCAACCAGGACCTTAGGCAACTAAACAATCAGGTTCTTGGGCAACTAAACAATCTTGGGTAGCTAAACAACCAGAACCTTAGGCAACTAAACAATCTTGGGTAGCTAAGCAACCAGAACCTTAGGCAACTAAACAATCAGGTTCTTTGGAAACTAGGCAACCAGGACCTTAGGCAACTAAACAATCAGGTTCTTTGGAAACTAGGCAACCAGAACCTTAGGCAACTAAACAATCCGGTTCTGTGGAAACTAGGCAACCAGAACCTTAGGCAACTAAACAATCCGGTTCTGTGGAAACTAGGCAACCAGAACCTTAGGCAACTAAACAATCCGGTTCTTTGGAAACTAGGCAACCAGAACCTTAGGCAACTAAACAATCAGGTTCTGTGGAAACTAGGCACCCAGAACCTTAGGCAACTAAACAATCAGGTTCTTTGGAAACTAGGCACCCAGAACCTTAGGCAACTAAACAATCAGGTTCTTTGGAAACTAGGCAACCAGAACCTTAGGCAACTAAACAATCAGGTTCTTTGGAAACTAGGCAACCAGAACCTTAGGCAACTAAACAATCAGGTTCTTTGGAAACTAGGCACCCAGAACCTTAGGCAACTAAACAATCAGGCTCTTTGGAAACTAGGCACCCAGAACCTTAGGCAACTAAACAATCCGGTTCTTTAAAAACTAGGCAACCAGAACCTTAGGCAACTAAACAATCAGGTTCTTTGGAAACTAGGCACCCAGAACCTAAGGCAACTAAACAATCAGGTTCTTTGTAAACTAGGCAACCAGGACCTTGGGCAACTAAACAATCAGATTCTTTGGAAACTAGGCAACCAGAACCTTGGGCAACTAAACAATAAGGTTCTTTGGAAACTAGGCAACCAGAACCTTAGGCAACTAAACAATCAGGTTCTTTGGAAACTAGGCACCCAGAACCTTAGGCAACTAAACAATCTGGCTCTTTGGAAACTAGGCAACCAGGACCTTGGGCAACTAAGCAATCAGGTTCTTTGGAAACTAGGCAACCAGGACCTTAGGCAACTAAACAATCAGGTTCTTTGGAAACTAGGCAACCAGGACCTTAGGCAACTAAATAATCAGGTTCTTTGGAAACTAGGCAACCAGGACCTTAGGCAACTAAACAATCAGGTTCTTTGGAAACTAGGCAACCAGGACCTTAGGCAACTAAACAATCAGGTTCTTAGGAAACTAAGCAACCAGGACCTTGGGCAACTAAACAATCAGGTTCTTTGGAAACTAGACAACCAGAACCTTAGGCAACTAAACAATCAGGTTCTTTGGAAACTAGGCAACCAGGACCTTGGGCAACTAAACAATCAGGTTCTTTGGAAACTAGACAACCAGAACCTTAGGCAACTAAACAATCAGGTTCTTTGGAAACTAGGCAACCAGGACCTTGGGCAACTAAACAATCAGGTTCTTTGGAAACTAGACAACCAGAACCTTAGGCAACTAAACAATCAGGTTCTTTGGAAACTAGGCAACCAGAACCTTAGGCAACTAAACAATCAGGTTCTTTGGAAACTAGGCAACCAGGACCTTGGGCAACTAAAGCTACAAGCTACATTTTAGGCAAGTGTATGTAATTGTATGATGCCTTATAGGATGATGGTAACAACTCTGTTACTGAAACGTCCCACACTTTTTATTTATTTGGTCTTATTATCTTGTGTTTCTAATCTATAATCCACAAATTGTGCCTTTTAAAAATTATAAATTTAGTTTTAAACACAAGTTAATAAGACCAAATAAATAAATATAGTGGATATCATGTTTGCTTTACATGCGAAAGGTCTCTGGTTCGATCCCGGGCGAAACCAGCTTTTTTATTTTACATACTATTTATTGGTAAATTTAATTTATATTTATGGTAAATAAATAGTCTGTTAAAATTTTACACATATAAATTTACTGGCAAAGCACTTCTTTTAAATATCATCAAATATTATCTCTACAGACCTATATATAGAAGCAATGGGCGCTTCTCCCATCAAAATATATATATAATAACTCATATCATTGCAGTAAGGTCTGTAGAGATAATATTTGATGGTATTTAAAAGAAGCGCATTGCCAGTAAATTTATATGTGTAAAATTTTAACATACTATTTATTTATTTAGATTTGGTCTTATTATCTTGTTTCTAATCTATCATCCACAAATTGTGCCTTATAAAAATTAGTAATTTAGAGTTTTAATATGAAGCAACTTTTTGTAAGAGTGTTTTGTAGGGGCTGAAGAGTCTTTTAAGGTTTTTAAATTTGATCGACATGGACTGTATCTTGGATGAATCCATTTTGGGTTTAGTTTATTTTATGAATATGTGGCAAGCTCTCTTTTTTTGTCAACATTTTTTCCCTAATGTAATGAGAAAGATTATTGAAAGAGAGAGTTTGGTTCATCAGTAATAGTGAATTCTTCCAGCCATTTCACCAGTTTAATATACCAGAATTGTATATGAGATGTTGTTCTGCCTATATAGATATTCTTCTTCTTTCTTATCTCCACTCAATCATATTAGGGTATCAAGTTGTGACCCCTGATGGTGTCTGTTTGACAACCATCATGACTGGGTGAAGTAGATTGCCTTTGTCATTAAGACTGGGAGCACTACTCAGTGGCAGGCCGACTTAGCTCCAAAAGAAATGGCCGCCTCTGACATGAGGAACAGACGCCATGTGCAGCGGCTCCTAACAAGGAGTACAACGCTGCTCATCCTGTATCCCTGGATTAGGAGACCTTACAGGGTACAATCAGCCAGGCCAGCTGAACCCAGGTTTTTTAGTGAGCTTGTTACTGCTCTCCCTCCTCCTTTTTCATCCGGGCTTGGGACAGGCAAAGGCAGAGTTGCCAATATAGACAATGATTTAGAGTAATACAATATAATCAATATAATATAATGCGGTTTGTGATTGTAAAACGACATTTGAAAACTATCCCGCAAGTTTTCTTTTCAACGAAAAACCAAAATTTATTTTAAGGAGAAATAACGATTATTTCTAACCTTAGGGATGAGGTATGAAAGGGTGAATTGTGAAGAGTAATGATAAACGGAAAATCCCATCCCTGGACACTTTTATTTTTCCGTTTATCATTACTCTTCACAATTCACCCTTTCATACCTCATCCCTAAGGTTAGAAATAATTGTTATTTCTCCCCTTAAAATAAATTTTGATTTTTCGTTGAAAAGAAACACATGCGGGATAATTTTCAAATGTCATTTAGAGTAATCCTAAGTGAGGATATTTATGAACACAATATTAACCCTTTAAGCACCATGCATGCCGATGTATCGGTTTGATGTCACTTGATGCTCTTTTTCTCCTTAAAAAAATCTAATTAAAATTAATTAATCGTAGTTTAAAGCGCATATTCTGTTGCATTGTGTTTCATATGTTTGTATGAATCATAAAAGCGTTTATTTTAAAAATAATTTAAAGAATAGTTTGATGTCTTTTGAAGGCTAACAATAATCAGGAATGACCTTGAAAACGGCCGGCACCTAAAGGGTTAAGACAATCTCCCTATTTGATATAGAAGAGACACAAGTTGGGGAGAAGATATTTTTATACTTAAGATGATGTCAATATTGATGATATTAGAACAGGTGTCAGCAAATTTTTGAGTAGGAAAAAAGTCAAAAATTACTATTTACAAAATTTCAAAGTTTTTAAAGAGCCACAAAATTTTTTTTTGACAACAATAAATAATACAATATAATATAATGCAGCTTGTTATTGTAAAATGACATTTGAAAATTATCCCGCATGTGTTTCCTTTCAACGAAAAATCAAAATTTATTTTAAGGAGAAATAACGATTATTTCTAACCTTAGGGATGAGGTATGAATCTCTGGACACTTTTATTTTTCCGTTCATCATTACTCTTCACAATTCATCCTTTCATACCTCATTCCTAAGGTTAGAAATAATCGTTATTTCTCCTTAAAATAAATTTTGATTTTTCGTGGAAAGCAAACTCATGCGGGATAATTTTCAAATGTCGTTTTACAATAAATAGTACTCACATAAATAATATTTACGTATGGAACTATATAAAGAGCCGCAGCTTTACATCCAAAGAGCTTTGTGTGGCTCGCAGTTTACCGACCTCTGACCTAGAAGATTCTACCTGCTCATGGCTTGTATGGACAATTATTCTATATACAGTTACGAGCGTCATGCGTTCTTCATCTCTGTCACCGTTTGCTTTTTTTTTGGAATGGCGCTCTCCTATTGGTTCGCTATGATGGCACCGCCACTGTGCGAGACACTTTGCCCCCCCCCACTCGCTTTTTGTAACTATTGTGTTGGAGCGGGTCACTCCTTAAATAAATGCGTATATTAGTTAATAACTAAATGGAAATCTCTTTTTCCCAGTAAGAAACGCCTACGGAAGCCAACAGTACATAGACAGATAAAGCACATAGGCTATAGTTATTAAATAATATATGCATTTATTTAAGGCGCCAATTTATAATTGTAACAAATAGTATTTGAATAAAAACATTCAATCGGGTAAAACACTGGCGTTAATGATCCAACAGGTCCACGTGTCTAAATGAAAACACGGGCGTTGCCAGGGTCATTCGGCTAGTATATTTTAAGGACCAGAATATAAGTTTCCTTTCATGCTTCTTAAGAATCTTCTGTTTTTGGATTTTAATGTCTACCATGATACCTATTACTAGTTCAGTGAGTTGGGACTCTGTAATATATCGGGATGTAAGAAATAGAAGATCTTTGATACTTTTATTTAGGAATCTTTTTTTGCTTATCTCTAGTGCAGGCCATGATAATCATGGTCGGTAGAAGTAGGTGAATGCTTTTACTGTAAGTGCACCACATGTCTACACATGTGAAAAGTATTTTGACTTTGCACTTACAAATGTATCAGAGCCCTGTTTGGTTATTTGCACCCCCTGGTGGGATTGAACTTTTGCAAGAATCGGGGGCCATTGGAGCATTTTTTGTTTAAATCAGAAAAAAAAGTGCCCAATGCGGGAATCAAACCTGGGTCATAGTGGTTGAAAACCAACAGTTTAGACCATCTTTCCACCAACCCCCTAATGTCTGCCATGATATCTATTATTAGTTCAGTGAGTTGGGACTCCGTAATATATTAGGATATAAGAAATGAAGACCTTAGGAATCTAATGTTGGAGAAACATCCTTCTCTTGTGTTTCTTCTTCCACATCCAATTTACATTAAAGAAGTGCATACACTAACAAGATTTAGAACCTGCCATCTCAAGCCATTGAAGATAGAAAATAATAACAAAATCTACTCCACTTGCTCAAAATATAGCTTGACACCTGCAGCTCCAGAACACATTTTGGCTTGTATTAGATACACTAAACAGGACCTTTGGGAGAGGCTGCTGCTTATCATAAAACATCTTGAGGAGCATGAACTCATGGAATTCGTGTAATCTTTACACATGGGGATAAGAAACAACAAGAAGTGCATTTGGTGAACTGATGGTTAAACTAGTAGCCATATTATGCCATAGATGGTAACAACGCTGTTACCGAAACATTACACACTATTTATTTATTTGGTCTTTTATTACCTTGTGTTTATAATCTATAATCCAAATTGTGCCTTATCATTCCACATCCAATATTTAATTGCTTTTTTGTTGTTGTTGTTCTTAAACAACATAATAGGCAACAAATTTTTAAAATAATCTTTTGCTTATCCCTAGTACACGTGGTACAGACCATGATAATCATGGTGGGTAGTTAGCGACTGCTTTTAATGTAAGCGCACCACATGTCTACACATGTGAAAAGCAGTTCGACTTTGCACTTACAAATGTGCCAGAGCCCCGTTTGGTTACTTGCACTCGCTGGTGGGGTTGGACTTTTGCAAAAATAAAAATAATAATATATATATTTTTTTTAAATAATCTAAAAAATATGTGAAATATCAAAATTTGAAAGTAAATAATAAAAGTAATCTTTAAATAAATATTTTATTTACCTTTATACAGCAAAAAAAAAAGTTTTTAAAAGAAGAAAAAAAAATAGGAAGGTAAGGGAGAGACAGAGAAAGGAATAAAATAGAAAGATCCAACACATTATAGGTGAAAATTTAAACAGGGAAAAAAAAAAAATCATGATGGGGAAGGTAGTAAAGGAAAAAGAAGACATATGATTGGTCTCTATAAGTCATGTGACTAATCAAAGAACCAATCAGATATCTGGAATTACAGTTTTAAAAGGTGGATGGAAGCATGGTGATTGGATCTCACCAGAAATCAGACGGAGAGAGATGTGGCTAAAGAATTCTTTATATAGAACCTATTTAATTATTTAAAAAAAAAAACCTTTTGAATTTGTCAAAATTTGTCAAAAATATTAATAGTGAACTATTACCTTTTTTTCTTCTTCAAAATGGAATGGCTTTAAAAAAAAAAGGGTCATTTAAAAAAAAAGCCAAAAAAAATTTTTTTTTTTTTTTTTCCGAAAAAATTGTAATTAAGGTCTTCATAAATACAGTTGATTCTTAATTTAAGACGAAAGAAAAGAAGAAATATTATATTAGAAATTCTAAAGATTATTGTCAGAATCCCCCATTCTCAGAAAAAAATCCATTTTTTAACACAATTTCTGAAACAATATCAAAATTTCCACTCTACGATTTACAAATTAGTAACGTGTGAATATAAAAAAAAGTAGCCAAAGACATAAAAACTTTCAGAAAAATAATACAATAAACCAACATTTACAAATATAAAGCACTTGCCATATATAGTGGATGAAAATTGAGGTCACCAACCTGTAATCTTTTTACAATTTTAAATAGAATGGTCA